CACAAAGTCCGGGCTGGCATCCTTGTTTGGGAGCCTCTGTCATGGCTCACTGTCAAGTTGAATTCGGAGCCGTATTAAAAAACACCTGCTGTGGATTGAGCGCGAGCTGCGAACCAAAGCATTGTAGGTTCGATTCCCAGTCAGGGCACATGCCTGGGTTGCAGGCCACAGCCCCCAGCAACCGCACATTGATGTTTCTCTCTCTCTCTCTCTCTCTCTCTGTTTCTCCCTCCCTTCCCTCTCTAAAAAATAAATAAATAAAACCTTAAAAAAAAAAAAAAACACCTGCTCTGTGCGCCTCAGCGGGTTCGGTTCCCGGTCAGGTGGGCTGTGGGCCACGTCCCTGGTTGAGGGATGTGAGAGACAACTAATCGATGATTCTCCCCCACTCTTTCTCCCTCCCTTCCTCTCTTTCTAAAAATAAAGAAATAAAGTCTTAAAAAAAAAAAAAAAGCACCTGAAGCTGCTCTTCCCAGAAGGGACAGCAGGGGGCAGTGGAACCAGCAGGCATTTGTTAGGTTGGCCCTCCTCCAGGGTAACTATCACCCCAGAAAGCATCTAAGGAATGTTTGGCTTTCTCCCCTAAATGGGGAAGACAGCAGACAACTATGAAGAATGCCAGGCTGTGGTTGCAAACAGGCCTGTCTGGGATTCTGAGTTTTGTCAGAGCCTCTCGCACCCACCTTCCCAGATAGACGCCCCCTCTAGACCAGGGGGCCTCCCCCAACGTCTTCTTCATCTCTGTGTTTCAATGTCTGGCACAAGCTGTCACTCAACAAACAGTGATGGCACTGAAGGACAGCCAGGAGGGCGGGTCAGGAGTCCTTTTCCAGTGGTGGGTGCACCCACCACCCCTAATCTCTGCCGCCCAAACACGGCCTCCTCCAGACAAAACCCAGCCCCAGGCAAGGATGTGGTGGCACCTGTCAGCTGTAGTCAAGAGCCTTGGGTCCTGCCACCTGGTTCTTAGCTGTGTCCCTCTGTTACAGAGCAGTCCCGGGGAGAGGAGGAGCTGGGCAAATGATACGCTATTGCCAAATGGCCCCACCCTTCTGCTCTGGGGGTCTCCCACCCCGTACTAGGTTCACCTTGCCTCCCACCAGGGAAAGACATCTCTCAACGCCAGAGATTGGTGAAAAGGAAAGGGATTATTTATTTAAAGAGTTACACAAACTTAACAGCAACGACTTAATGTCTTCACTGCGATCCCAAAGTCCTTTAGAATATCCACAAATGCACAGTCCTTCCTTCCCCCTCAGCCCAGTCCGGGGTACCGTACCTCCGAAAAAAGAAGTAGAAGTCCATGGTTCTCCTCTGCCCAAGCTGCGTGGTCCCAAAAAGAGCTGCAGAGTTGCTGCGCCTGGGTTTAAATCCCAGCGCCAACCTTCCTCTGCCGCACCATTTCCAACTCCTCCCACAACTGGCCGCAGCTGCCAGCATTCCATAGTAAGTCCGGGCAGGTGTGGCCCTGTGGTGTGGAGCCAAGCCTCTCCAAGCTCTGACGCAGGCGCTGTAACCAGGGGGAGCTGCCTCCCTATTATATCATGGGTTGAAGTCACTGCCATCCCCCTGGCTGAAAGCCTGGCCACAGCTGTTTAACATATCTAAGAAACCAGTTAAAGGCTATAGATATGTTAAATGACCGTTCTAGAGGTCATCTGCAAAACTGTTGCTATTCAAACAACTCTGGAGCCCTGACTGGCTGTAGCTCAGTGGATTGAGCGCTGGATGCAAACCAAAACATTGCAGGTTCGATTCCCAGTCAGGGCACATGCCTGGGCTGCAGGCCATGGCCCCCAGCAACCAGACATTGATGTTTCTCTCTCTCTCTCTCTTTCTCCCTCCCTTCCCTCTCTAAAAATAAATAAATAAAATCTTTAAAAAATGGAATCTCTTGGGGGGGAACACCTCTCGATGGCCCTGCTCCATGTGTCCCATCCCCCAGCTCAGACTTGTGGGGGTGAGGGCATCCTATATATATTTTTTTTCTAGTATTTCCTGGACACCAAGTTCTGGACCCCATTACAAATCCCTATTTGGGCCCCACCCCCGGCCGCACCCTGTTACACCTCATGGATGGGGTTGTTGCTTCGGGTGGAACCTTCTCAGGTGCTCGCTGCGGGAACACCGGGTCCAGGACGGGTGGCGTCCTCTGAGGCAGGAGGGGGTAGGACTGGCTGAAAAAGTGTTACTGTCGGAATTTAGCTAGAAAGGGGGAACAAAGGGACTCAGACATTGAGTTCAATGAACTGGGGAGCACAAGCCTGCTTCCTAGCCAGGAAGCTGCAGCGTCACACCCCAGGGGATCACAGCATTGCTTTGCCATGGGGATGAATGCTCCTTATGTCCCCCTCTGGTACCGGCTTGTTGGGGACACAGGGGCAGGGGCTGGACCACAGAGGCCTGTCGTTCTAGCCAAGGGGTGTAAATACAGCCAAAGATTGCGAAAGCTTGGGAAGTTGATGGGTTCTTTTGAAAAGGCACCTGGTCTCTCCCAAGCCCGAGCTAATATAATCCCAGGGAAACCAAGAATCTCTCTCTCTCTCTCTCTCTCTCTCTCTCTCTTCCTGCCCCCCCACCTTTGCCTCGGGACCAGCACTTGCACCGTGCACCCACGAGGCCTCTGTCCAGAGCCAGGTGGCCCTAGCAGCCCCGTGGCCCAGGACAGCTCAGACCCCACACACAGGCCCCACAAGGCAGCCTGAACTCCCCAGCACGGCAGCAGACCGCAGCTGGAAGTGCACGCTACACTTGCTGGACACCGGACCGGACTGGACTCAAACACGGTGCGGAAACTCTGGGCACTGGCCTTGGCCCTGGCCCTGCTGAAGACAAGAGTAGAGCTCTCCCGTGGGGAGTCTGACGGAGGTGGGACACTGGGAAGCCTGGAGGGAAATCCCCTTGACTTGACATCATCGATAAACCACACCACAGAGCCCCGTCCTCCCCTGCGGATCTCAGGAAATTCTTTTCCTCGCAATACCGCAAGAACCCCACTTCCACCCATAACAAAGGCTTCCTCCTCTACTGGGAAATCAAAGCTGCTGGCTCAGCCTCCACACGCACTCCGCGGAGCAGCTCCTACGGCAGGTTAGCAGTGAGCCCCGCCTGGCGCCTGGCTCAGCCCCCCGCATGACCCGAGCTGCGAATCTGGCCGGGTCAGTCTCTGCCTACAACCTTTAAGTTGACAAGAAGAAAAAGTATTTCCTGCTCTAGTTTTGTTTTAGCTAACACCGGCTGAGAGCTCGCTGGGCATCAGGAGTGCTGTGAATCTTTCAAGACCGGTTCATGCCCCGGCTGGTGGGGCTCAGTGGATTGAGTGGCAGCCTGCGAACCAAAAGGTTGCCGGTTCGATTCCTTCTCAGGGCACAGGCCTGGGTTTTGGGACAGGTCCCCAGTGGGGGTAGTTTGAGAGGCAACAGAATGATGTTTCTCCAGAACATCGATGTTTCTTTCCCTCTCTTTCTCCCTCCCTTTCCCTCTCTCTGAAAATAAATTTAAATACATAAATATTTAATAAAAAAGAAACTTGTATTTTAAAAAAGACCAATTCGTACCCCACTTCATTCATTCATGCATGCCTTCATTCAACATGCTAAAACCAGGCACGATGCCAGGTGTTTTACAGACATAGTATAATTTAACCTTGACAACAATGCTCCGGGACTATTATAATTCCCAATTTCCAAAAGAGAAAAACTGAGGTTCAGGGAGGAAATTGCTTTAGAACACGCTGGTGAGTTCTTGGGAACAAGATTCTAGCAGCTGTGACCCGTGCCCTGCCAAGAGGAAATGCTTCACGGAGAAAACAGGGGCCTTGGGTGGTGAAACAGAACCTCTCCCCCCCCCCGCCCCCCCCAGCAGGGTCAGGCTGCCCAGCGTGTGGTCCTGTGGGCGTGACACCGGATGGATGAGGGGGGCTCAGACCCCTCCCCCTTAATCTAAGCCCAGGACTGAAAGGTGGAGAAGGAGAGGAAGTTATGGAGGACAGCTTCCCCTTCAGCCCCCGTGCCTCCCTGGTCCCAGGTGACACGGGGAGCTGCCCTCTTGCCCCATCCTGCAGCACCCATGACGGCAGTCCCACTTCCGAGTTATCTGGCTCAGAAGGGGACCCACACAACCACTCCTTCCAGCCCCTCCCACAGCACACAAAGGGAAACGGAGGCCTCGCCCCATACCTCATCCTGCCAGAGTCGGGACGAAAGCCCAGTGCTCCAGACCCTGACCCAGCGCTCTATCCACCTTTCCTCCCCAGCAGTCTTCCCCGACGAGCGCTGACAGTCCAGGCAGGGAAGCAGGAGGGGGGCCTTGGTGGTGGCAATGCACTTGGAAATCCTGTGGGCGGCTGCCAGCCCGCCACTCACCAGCCGTGAGTCCGAGAGGTCCCTTCACCTGAGTCCGCCTCTGTGCAATGGGAACAGGGCTGCTGAGAGCGCTGGTGAACAGTACGGACACACGAAGCGTCTGGAGTACAGTGGGGGCTCAGTCGGCTTTAAGCCCAGCTACGTTGCCTCCAAAGAATGGATGTGGGTGAAGAACCAGCTCCCCTCCCTTCACCCCTTTCCCCCAGGAGGGGCAGAATGAAAGAATATTAGAAAACAAATACAGGCAAATGCTGTGGAATGCTGGGGGAGAAACGTGTCTTCCCATATTTATCAGCTGTGGGATGATCCAGCCTGGGCAATGGGAGATCAATAATATGGAGAACAAATGGGAGGACTGCTGATTTGGGGTCTCACTGGCTATTTTCCCAGTGACCCCGAACTTGACCTTCCCTAAATACACAGTCGTTTAGCCAACAGGCTTCTTCAAGAGACCCCGGTCTGAGGGGTTCCCAGGAAGGGCAAAGTAGGGCGGGGCTGGGGGGAGGTAGGTTGCTGGCGTCCGGGGACCCTCAACCCCGGCGCCTCGCCCCCGCCCCGCGCTGCTCTGGGAAGCGCGGACTACAGCTCCCGGCATGCCCTGCACGCAGTACCTACCCGCCTCCAGCTCCCGGGAGCTGGGAGGATGCAGGATCCGGGGCCAGACGTGAGGATGGAGGCCGGGGAGGCAGCGCCGCGGGCGGGGGTGGGAGGCCGCGCTGCAGGAGGCTGGGGCAAGTGGGTGCGGCTCAACGTGGGGGGCACGGTGTTCCTGACCACGCGGCAGACGCTGTGCCGGGAGCAGAAGTCCTTTCTCAGCCGCCTGTGCCAGGGCGAAGAGCTGCAGTCGGACCGGGTGAGGCCCTCGGGGTGGGTGGTGCGGGGCGAGGGGTCGCCAGCTCCCTGGGATCGGGGCTGTCGGGCCTGGCACTTCCGCCGGGCTAGGGATGCGGGCAGGTTTTATTTACAAAGAGCCGGAGGCGGGAAGAACTGGCTGGAGGAGCGGAGGAGGAAGTGGATCCGAGAGTGAGGAATGTGCCTATTGCCTTGGCAACGGGACAACGCCAGGCAACGGCCATTTGAAGCTTAGGAGAGCTGCCCTGGGCTCCCCCCTAGGAGGCTAGTGGATCGAATCCGACTCTCGCCCCTTCCCTGGGGCTGTGGGCTCAATCAGGCGCGTAGGACCTTCGGTCCCTCCCAAGCGGGGGACCTTCCCAAACGGGAGTGGCTGAGGCTGCTTCTCCCCTGCCGTTTAGGGTGTGGGTGACCTAGGTGTGCAGGGAGCTGGGTGGAGAAGGCCCAGAGTGCCTTCTGAGCTGGGCTCCACCTGCGAGCCGAGCTGGCCGGGCGGCCCCAGGTCTGGGGTGCCAGGGGGCCCTGCTGGACACTGCTTGCAGGACTTGAGGTCTGCCATTTCCTGCTGCAGGCTCAGCCTCCTGTCTGCAACCAGAGGAGGTTGGTCTGGAGGTGACCGCCAAGGCCCCCTCCTCCCCCATTGCCTGACCGTCTGATGCTGTGACCTTGAGCAAGTCCCCTGACCTCCTGATGCTCTTTTCTCTCTGTAGAGCTGTGCCGCTGCCTGCTCTGCCCCCCTGCAGGCTGAGAGTGCCCAATGAGGCAGCGGCTCCTTTGGCAACCTGCAAACACCCCGGGATGACTGGGGATCTGGGGGAGACAGGGTAGGGCTGGCTGCCGGCGAACAGCCTCTAAGGGGCGCAATCACTGAGCCCTCACTGGATGCTCACAGTGACCCCCAGGTAAGGGGGGGAGGCACAAGGTTCAGAGAGGCCAAATCCCTGGCCCGAGGTCACAGTCAGGACAAGGCAGGGGCGGGATTTGAACCTTTGTGGTCCACCCTGCTCCTTCATTCTGGGGAAGAACAGACTGGACGCTCTCACTCCCTCCCTCCCACGCTCTGACGGGCCCCACGCGAGGGTCAGGTGGGGGAAAGCCACTCCTCTCTCACGGCCTCTGCCCCTCACCTCCGCAGGATGAGACCGGGGCCTACCTCATCGACCGCGACCCCACCTACTTCGGGCCCATCCTGAACTTCCTGCGGCACGGCAAGCTGGTGCTGGACAAGGACATGGCCGAGGAGGGTGAGTTGGTGCCGGAGGGGAGGGGGGGCTGGCCTAGCCCACATGATGCTAGCCCTGCCCTCTGCAGCCTGCCAGCCCTTCTGAGCAGCCCAGAGCCACTGCCTCCGGCCAGAAGGGACCTCTGCTCTCCTCTGCTCCCTGCCTCTCCCCGGCCCCGACAGGGCTGAGTCCCACAGCTTCTGCAGGCCGACCAGCCTGAGCTCTCGCTGGGTGCCTTTTGGGGAGATGACCGAAACACCCAGGCAGAGGTCAGAGGGAGCCAGCGAGGCTGGCAGCCAGCGTCGTGGGCAGGGACGCCCTTTCTGCTGGCCCCCTGGGAAGCCGGAGGTGCCCAGGGTGGAGCTGGGCAGGGTGATCCGATATCTCAGATGCCTGGCGAGGGCTTGAGTCAGCAGGTGGGTGGACCGGGTAACTCTTCCCAAATTCGGCAACCTCGGCGGCACAGCGCCGGGTGTGGGTGGGGCGAGGAAGGTGGGAGCCTGCTCTGCCGTAGCAGAGGCTTTGACCCTCCCAGGCCCGGGTGGCCGAGGCCCCGTGGACCCCCACTCCTGGGCCTGGCAGGTGCTAGGGAAGTCACGCCTGGGGGGTGGCCCCTGGACAGAGCCCCAGCCAGGGGCAGGGACCACAGTCTGTGCCAAGGCAGGATGTGGCCGTGGGTCAGCTGACCCGGCCAGGCCAGCTCGGACCTGTCACTTCTCCTTCCTGAGCCTCCCTGTGTCTCCCAAGTGCAGACGGCGATCTGCACTGGGGCGGACGCACCTTGCATCAGCGAATGCTATGAAGCCCAGTGCTTGTACCCCGGGGGTGTCTAGCACAGCCCATCCCTCCTCCCTAGTGGGTGCCCAGTGGGCCCGGACGTCAAAATCCAAGCCCACCATAGGCACTGGCTCAGCAGGGCCCACGGCTTCCCGGGCAGGGCCCACGGCTTCCCGGGCAGCGCCTCCGGAAGCACAGGTACCATGGGCGTGGCCCAGCCCGGGAGCAGGTCCCTGGGGGAGGGGAGTAAACTCTCCGGCTGCAGCCTAGCCACCACTTGTTTACAGGTTCGGGGTTTCTCCACGTTTGCCGCTACCGGGCACCTTCAGACGGGGCTGGGACCGCATGCAGGGGGCCGGGGCATCCGGGAGGAGACTTACTAGCTGTGTGACAACAGGAAACTCCTTTACCCCTCTGGGCCGCATCTGTGGAAGGGGGCAACACAGCGGCGCTGCTGTGGGGATCACGCGAGTGGGGACTTAGTGCAGCGTCTGGCCCCGAGGACCCGGGGGGCAGTGTCGGTTGTCTGTGTCCGCAGGGCCCCACGGGGGCGCTCCTGCAGCGCTGCTCACTGACCGTCTGCTGCTATGTGCTGGGTACTGTGTGGGCCCCGGGGACAGCGGCATAGAGCAGACGTGGGCCCCAGGCCCAGGGAGCTTGGCGACCGGTCAGGGGAACAGTTGGAAGTGTCCTTGCCCTGAAGGAGCTTTGAGGAGCCGGCAGGCCAGGGGCCCCCCCACTTCACCGGAGAGGGGACGATGGGGCCTTCTCCCCCGTGTCCCCAGGGCTTGTGATGCGCACGGAAGGAGCTTTGCGAACTGTCACCCGTGGGAGCCGGGGATATGCACGCGCACAAAGATCAGGCACTTGCACTTGGGCTCTGAGGTCAGAGGAACTTGAGCTTGAATCCCAGCCCTGCTGCTGAGTGGCTGTGGGGCACCAGCCAAGCTGTTTCTGTCCCCATTTCTCCTGTGGGCCAATGCAAGTGCCTGCTTCTGGGTCTGAGAATTAACCTGCAGTGAGGAGTGGGAACTGCCCAGCTCAGTGCCTGGCCCTTGGCATGCGCTCCATTCACAAAGGGGGGCAAGCAACAGGGGTCCTCTGGGGCCCTTCTCATTGCGGCATTGTGGGGTCCAGTCCCAGTGAGCCTGCTGCCTCCTGCTAGCCCCAGAGCAGCCCCCAGATTAGAGGACTGGCAGGCACCCCTGGGTCCCCGTGCGCAGCAGAGCAGAGGTGCGGGGCGCTGCGTGGCGGGCGGTGTTTGGCCCCTTCCACAAAGAGCATGGGGTCCAAGGAAGGAAATGTTCCCTCTTGCTTGACCCCTGAACTCAGAGATGCTCGTCGCCCTCACGTGACCGGAGTAGGTGTGGTGAGGGCAAGGGGGGGACAGGGCACGGGGGCCGTGGCAGTGACCCCGGCACGGCTTTGTCTGTGCCAGGGGTCCTGGAGGAAGCGGAGTTCTACAACATCGGCCCGCTGATCCGCATCATCAAAGACCGGATGGAGGAGAAGGACTACACCGTCGCGCAGGTGGGGCCGGGGCCGCAGGGCAGCGCCCGCAGCCGGGGTGGTTGGCGGTGGGGAGACAGAGGCGGGGGTAGGGGCGGGGGAGGCCAGAGAAAGGTTGGCGGAGGCGGGTAGTTCTCCCTGGGGAGGCGCCACTAGCCTGTAAGGGGAGGGATCGTCGTCCATCTCCCAGACTGCCCAGCAGAGCCCCGGACTGGGAGATAAACACTGGTTCTTTCCTGCCTCGAGCCATTCGCTGCGTGACCTTGGGCCACACACACCCCTCTCTGGACCTTAACTTCCTATGATGGGATGCAGCAGTCCTGAGAACTGCCCACCCTTCCCATCCTCACGGGCCAGAAGGGGTCAGCGGGGGGCACCAGGGCTCTTTGGGGGGCAGTGCAGGGTGGGGTCAGCACATTGTCTGCTTCATGGGGTCAGGCAGCCCCCTGGTGGGCGCCGGGGAGCTGCTGGAGCCGGCACTTCTGGGCCTGGCCCCTGGGCCTCAGCGGTCAGTCCACAGGAGGAGGTGGAGAGATTCCCAGCCTGCCCTGGGAGGCGCAGGGGTGGGGAACAGGTAGTGAGGCACCGTCTCCTGGAGGGCCTGCTTCCGTTAGTGACCCAGGATGTCCCCCAAGCCCCTCCCTTCTGTTGTGTATCGCCTGTGCTTCAGTTCTGACTCCCTGCCACTCTTGAGCTGGGTGACCTCGGGAAAGTTGCTCACCCTCTCTGATCCTCCATGAAAACCCTACAACAAATGTGAAGTGTCCGGCACGTAGCCAGCCCTTGGGACATGGCTCCTGTCTTCCCACCCTGCCACTCCCATCCTCCTCTCCTTCTGGGGGCGTGGGGTTGGGAGGAGAGGAGAAGCGGCGGGGGTGGGGGGGGAGGCAGGCGCTCACCCCCTCCTGGGGTGCCCTCACATCACCCCTCCGCCTGCAGGTCCCGCCCAAGCATGTGTACCGCGTGCTGCAGTGCCAGGAGGAGGAGCTCACGCAGATGGTCTCCACCATGTCTGATGGCTGGCGCTTCGAGCAGGTGGGCTGGGGACCGTGCCCAGGACCGCCCAGTCTCCAGGCGAAGCAGGCCCCTCCCTTCCTGCGGCCCTAGCTTCGGGTGTCCCACTGCTGCCCCCACTGGGGGGTCTTCTTAAGTAAACAGGGTTAGATTGGCTGTGACGAGAGAGCCAATCCGGGTCCCCTCGGTGGGGATGCTCGCAGGGACCGGGTGGTGGTGCGCGTGGCAGTGTGAGCGAGGCCCCGGGCCCCGGGCAACAGCTCGTGAGAGGAGTGGAGAGCCACACGGGCGGGCAGAGCCCCCCTGGTCAGATGCCTCCTGGAACGGCTCCACAGGCACGGCTCCCAGGGCCCCTGCAAGGGACATGCCCAGTCACGGGCATCGCCACGTTCAGGGAAGCCCAGAGCAGCAACTTCCCCTGAGGGATCCATAGGGACCTCTAGTTCCTCCTGGTCCAGATGCCAGTTTCCCATTGGCTGGGGGGGGTTTATCATAAGTCATGTGGCCCTAGTAATACAGGGGATGTCCCACCTGCCTCAGGTTTCCAGAGGGATGGATTACAAGGCCCACTGATGAAGTCCCTGGCCCAGGGGAGGACTTGAGAATATTCCAAGCATGAACAGAATATTCCGTGGGGCTCCACCATGCCACCCTGGCGCTAGGGCTGCCCCGTCTGGTACAGGGGGTGGTGGCCTGCCAGCTCCAGCCTCCTCCTGCCCTGAGGAAGTGGCCTGCCGGGTCTGGGCCGGGCACTGGGCTGGGGGAGGAGCAGCAATGAGACCTTCCCCAGGGGCCAGGCCCAGCCTCCAGGTGGGGGGCCAGTCTGGAAACTCACCAGAGGTGTAGACGGGGGAGGGGAGAAGACTCCCGACTTTTCGGCCCAGAGGTATTTTCTGGAAACCCAGGCAGGTGCCTGAGCAGCTCAGCCAGGTCAGGACACAAGTTGGGGTCTGGACGAATGCAGCGCCCTCCTCACGGCCCCCCAGCCAGACCTGTCATCCTTCTCCCCCTGCGCCACCCCTCTAGCTGGTGAACATCGGCTCCTCCTACAACTACGGCGGCGAGGACCAGGCGGAGTTCCTGTGCGTGGTGTCCAAAGAGCTCCACAGCGCCCCCCACGGGCTGAGCTCCGAGTCCAGCCGCAAAACCAAGGTGAGCCCCCAGCTTCCGCCTGCCTTCTCTCCTCCCTCCCCTCCCCTCCCCTCCCCCCCACTCCGCACAGCCATCCCTGCTTTCTCTCTCTCCCTCCCTCCCGCTGCACACGTACAACCCCAGTCACAGCCAGCGCCATCCATCCCACGCCGCCCGTGGTCCTGTCTGCTCACGCTGGTCACCCGGGCCCAGGCTGGGGGAGCAGTGAGATGGGACCATTCCGAGGGTGCAGCAAGCGTGACTGAGATGCCGCCTGAATGGTGGCCACGTGGTGGCCACGGGGCTGCATGGCATGAGGGGAGTGCACCGGAGTAGGGGTCTCTGGGCGTGGTGGGCCTCGCTGTGCGTGACCCTGGACAAGCCCCGACCCCGAGGCACCTTTGCTGTGCCCTCTGAGAACTAAGGGAGGTAGACCACGCCCTCTCTGTGTGCCCATCAAGCTTGGGACTCCTGGGGTCCTGGCAGCCAGTGTATTCCCAGGAGTGGGTCAGTGTCCTAGCTGGCCCGGGCCCGGGGGTACGGGAGCCTAATTGGTTAGTGCTGCCCCTTTCCCTGGCCCCCTCCTTGGGAGGGGAGTCAGGAGCCCTCTGGGGTCCAGCCCTGTGTGTCTACCCTGGCCTCTGAGGTGGCCTCGGCTGGCTGTGAGGAGCTGAGGTCCTGCCGCCGAGACCCACAGCTGGTCGGAAGCCCCAGGGGACTGCCACAGGCTGGGAAGCAAGGAGACCCTTCCTTCTGGGGCCTGCCCACGTGCATTGGAGACACGAGAACTCTGGCTTCCTGTCTGTCTGCCTGCCTGCCCTGTCCTGTGTGTCTGTCCCCTTGCCCACCCCCACCCCAGGAAGGGCCGGTGGCCGGCCCTGCCTCGCAGGGGCACAGAACGAGCCTTCTGCTCCTGCCTCTGGCCCAGAGCCTGGAGACCTGGGCTGCCAGGGCCTGTGGCTGGCATCCCAGGCCTGGGTGGCGTCTGCCCTGGGCACCCCCCCGGCCTCCTTTCCCCTCCGGGACAGCCCTCCTGAAATCAGGCCTTCCCAAGTGCCCCTCAGGGACACCCCAGCTACACGCCCACCCCAGTCCTCCTCCTGCCCCCACCCAGCCTGCTCCAGGCAAACGGCAGCCCGCCTGACCCGTGAGCACCCGGCGAGGCCGGTTTCTCCCGTCCCTTCCCTGGGCTTCCCAGGGGAATGGACAAGATGCCCCAGCCTCTCTGGCTGTGGTCCCCTGCTCTCCTGGAGGCCCCCCTCATCTAGCCCGCCGCCTGCCCTGAGCTGCCGGGGCCCCCCGGGGACAGCACCCGCAGGCCCCCTCGTTAGTTCTCCACTCTTTCTTCCCTGGGTCCGCCGGCTGGTCCACAGAGCGCGGAGGAGCAGCTGGAGGAGGAGCAGCAGCAGGAGGAGGAGGAGGTGGAGGTGGAACAGGTGCAGGTGGAGGCAGATACACAGGAGAAAGGTGCAGCCAACCCCCGAGGAGAATGATTGCTAATCCAAGCCGGAGCCTCCCGCCCGCTCCCTGCCGAGGAGCCAGCCGCAGAGCCCGGGGGGCCGGGGGCCGCTGGGGGGGCGGGCCACCAGGGTTAGCTCAGCCGCCCGCCTGGCGCCTCACCCGCATAACCATCCCTTCTCTCACTTTCTCTCCGCAGCCCAGTCACCTCGGGATCCCGCTAACCTTTTCTCCCTCCCACCACCGCCTCCTCCTCCTCCGCTCCCCGCTGGAGGTCCTGCCTCATCTTCATCCACCTCCTCCTCCTCCTGGATCTCATCTGCACCCTGCCTCTTCCCTCTCTGCCCCTGTCCGGGCTTTCTCTCTGCCTGCTCACGCCTCCATCCCGGGGCCACCCTGGTCCCAGGCGCCCCGGCCTCGCATCTCAGGGCACCCTGCCTGCCGCCTCCCGCGCCCCTTCTGGCAGCTCCTGCGTCCTGGCCTGGGGAGCGGGCGTGCCGCTGCGCCGCCGCCTCCGCGCCTGCCCAGCCCGCCGGGCACCTCTGAGGCTGGGCCACCCGCCCCAGCGCCTCGCCTCCTCGCCTCCTGCTGACGTTTCCTCCTTGCAGGTTCCTGTCCGCACCCCTCAGACCTGAGGCTGCGCTGGCCTGGCGGTGAGGGCCTCTCCTCGGCCCCTGGCCCGTCCCCCCCAGAGCTGCCGGCCCTGGTCTGTGGCTTGGAGGAGCTGGAGGGAGAGGCGGAAGCTAGGAGGGTGCTCGTCTCTGGTTCCTTGGACTTGGGCTGAACTTTCAGCTGATTTTCTTCCCCTCATCAAAGTTTCTCAGCCGGCCTATCTCGGCCCTGGGTTATGAGGCTCTGAGAGGAGGAGTGAGTCAGAGGTGGACCCAGTGCCATCTGCCCATCAGCGCCCGAGCAGGCTGGGAGGGAAGGGTGGGGAACCAGCCAGGTGCTGCCCTGGCCTCCACCCTGCACGTGGGAGCACCTGCCTTGCAGCCTCAGGCGCCGGGTTCCCTGTCTGTGGGGGAAGGACTGGAGGCGGCCGAGCCGGCTGCGGGTCGGGGTGTGGCAGGTGACAGCCCTGCTCAGGTGCCCAGACGCCCAGAGGGGCGAGTCACTGTCCCTGTACAATGTGAGTTGCCTCTAAAGTGGGGACAGATAGCGGCTCACTGTGACCTGCTTCTCTTGGCCTTGACCCCCCTGGCCAGAGTCTTGGCAGCATCTGGCCCTCCCAGGCAGCCAGCACCAGCCCAGGATGGGGCCTGGGGACCCCAGACAGGCGAGCTGGGTCCCCTTCCTGCTCACCCTCCTTCTGGGCTCCGAATCCACCTTCTCCGGGCCTCAGCCCCTGTCTCTCCTCCCAGAAGGGACTCTGTGACTCACCTACCTCTTTCTCTCTCCCTCTCTCCCCCACCCCCTCCCTCCATTTCAACCTCCTCTCTCCCTTCTCCTGGCCCCGCATCACCCCCTCCTCCCCCACCGGCTCCACCTCCCACCCCCCACCCCCTCCCCGGTGTTCGGACCATCCCCCCCCGTCCCCCTGCCCCTTTCCCTCTTATTTTCTAGCTGTTACAGGCCAGAGGCACCCGGATGTGAGGTCCCAGATCACCTCCAGGGACTTGGGGTTCCGATCTGACGTCCTTTATTTTTGTACCGTGGGGTGGGCCCCCAGCTCAGGGTGGAGGAAGCGCCCCTCCTGCGGCCACCTCTGTCTGCACCTGCGGGGCTGTGACGGCCCCCTGCCTCCCTGGTGGGCCCTGGGGCCCCTGGGCAGAGCCGCCTGCCGGCAGCCCAAGTGTGGCGCTGTCCGGCTGTGTCTCCCAGGCCCCCGCGTCCCCTCTCCCGAAGCCCCCAGCTGCATGGCGGACACAGTCCCTCCCGGCCCGGTCACGTCGCCCCCTTGAGCCTTAGTCTCCCTGTCAAGTGGGTTCTCTCTCCCCCCCCCACCCCTGCCTACCTCACAGGGCTGTTGTGAGGTCCCACCCAAGGGGAGAAGGTTCCCCGGAAGTCCTCCTCCAGAGGGTATGCCTTCCCCAGGGGTGGGGGGCCTTCCTCACCCTTCCTTCCCTCGGGGGAAGGGCTGGTTCAGCCACAGATGAAACTCCGGTATTGGAGGGGATGGAGCAGGTGGGGTGGCGTGGCCTTCACCTGGAGTCCTGCCACCCCCATCTGCACTGCGGGGGACAGAGGGCCCGGCCCCAAGCAGGCTGGCAGGGGCTCAGCAGGGGCAGTGGGGCCGCTCAGGAACTGGTGATACGGGAGAGGGGGCCACTGCCTCCTCCGCTCAGGGGCCCGCCTGCCCGCGCTGGCCACTGCCCGGCTGGGCAGCGCTCCGCGGTGTCTGGCCCCACCGTGTAATAAAAGCTGAAGAAACAGCTGGCCTGCCTGCCTCCCTCTCTTTCTCTGGGTCCCTGCTGGGGACAGGGGCTAAACCCAAGGCTGGGGAGAGGACCCAAAGGTAATGGGGCTATTGCCCGGGGACCGCGCCCTGCCGACACTCCCCTGCGGTGTGGGGCGGGGGGGGCTCAAGGCTGGACCCTCTGCTCAGACACCGAGGACATCAGCTTTGGCTGGCTGGTGCCCACCCCTCTCTGGGCCTCAGTGTCCCCATCTGTACCACGAGGGGTTGGACCAGATGACTTCCAAGGCCCAGCCCCTAGAGTCACAAGGGTCTCCCCCTGCCCCCAGGCAGCCCTAGGCCACCCAGGGTTGCCCAGGAGGAGGTGGGCTCCGGGAGACCGGGACCCCTCGAACCTGGTGCCCTGTCCTCCCGAGCCCCAGCCTCACCCCGCTGTCCAGACAGCCGTCGGCTCACCCTGATGCCCAAAGACACTCCCGCTTCCTGCTGGGACTGCTTGGTATCTCCCCCCTCCCTATGGCTCTACCCTCTGCCCCAAGTCCCAGGAAATAGACAGCCAGGGACCCGCCCCACCTCGCCCTAGAGCCCTGGGGCCCCAGCGCTCCCTCCTGCCCTACCAGGACCCGGCCCCCCACCCTGGCCCATGCCTCCTCCCTAGCCCTGTGGTGTCCACCTTGCTCAGCTCAGTGTGGCTGGGGCACAGCCCTGCGAAGCAGTGACCCCAGGCAGAGCCCCCCCCCTTTGGGCCAAGTCCTCTCCCGCTCCGGGCTCTGTGCTTGCTGAAGCTGGCCTCACCTTCTGGGGCCCACTTGGCTGCGAAAGACTCACTAGGGGCTTGTTAAAGACAAGACGACCCACCTGACCCCTCCCCAAATTCTTACTAAGCCTGGGTAGCCCCATGATTTGCATTTTAGCACAGCCCCCCACCCCACCCCAGTGCTCTGCCCTGTGAGCCTGCCTGGGTAGGAATGTTTTATCATCCTGCCCCTGCCCCCAAGGGTCCCCCCACAGCTTTGGCTCCGCCTACTGTCTCCTTCCTCCCACAGACAGGGCCTGTGGGTGATAGCTCACCACCTCCGCCCACCCACCCATGGACAGGTAGCCACTCCCTATCTTTGAAACCCCCTGAAGTCCAGATCTCTGTGGCTCCCCCTTCCCCCAGCTAGGCTCCTCCACACTGACCTCCACCACTGCTCCCAGGAGGCGCCGGTGACCCAGGGCCCTCCCTGCGCAGCCCCACTGCGCGTGGCCTTGGTACTAAGACACTGCTGCTCAGATTCCCTCCAGCCCCTGGCCCGTCCTCAGCCACCTCCTGTGCGCGGTGCCTCCGCCTCCCCCACATCCTCTGTCCATGACACCTTCCCACGGCCTCGCCCGCCCCGCTGCCCCAGGTCAGGCAAGGGATCCTCCCCTCGCCGACTGCTCAGGCCAGCCCCCACCTCCCAGGAGAGGTTCCAGGTGGCTGCTCCTTCACCCACCCCATCCATCGAGGCACTACAACCCTACACCCGTCCCCCCACGCAGTCCAGGCCCCCCACTCCCTCCACACTGGTGCCACTGCCTTGCTCCAGAGCCTTCCATGCTCCCCAGAGCATCCAGGTCAAGTCCTCAGCTCAACTCCAGGCTCTTTATCATCTGGTCTCAGTTTGTCCCCTGCCCCCACCCCCCGCAATTCCTCTGTGGTCCACCCCTCAACCTCTGCATAGCTAAAGCAGCTTGCCGTCCCCGAACATGCCGTGTTCTTGTGGGGCACGCTGTCTTGGTGCATGCTGTTCCCCTGCCAGTAATGATGCCCTTCCCCCCTTGGCCACGAGTCTCATCTCCGGGCAGCCTTCCGGACTGCCTGGGTCCGAGGCCACCCCAAAGCCTTCATGTTGCAGCGCCCCCCACCCCCGCCCCCAGAGAGCAGGAGCCAGGCTCTGGGAACATCTGTGGCCCCAGCAGGGACACCTGGTGGGAACCTGTGAGCTGCGGGCTCAGAGGGCGTGTCCGCTGGGGGCGGGGCTTCCGCACCAGGCCCCACTCCCAACCCCTGGCATGGTCATGAGGATGTCTCTGCCCCTCCCTGAGCCTCAGTTTCCCCCCAAGGATTCAGGAGGAGTCTATCACTTGTCCCATTCCTCTCTCCGACCTGAGGGTCACCAATGGCTGCCTTCCCGGGGTTGCTCCTGGGACCTGCACAGCTGTCCTGGAGACCACCCCTGGCTTCTGCTGACCTCACCTTGGCCTCCAGACCATTGGCAAACAGGCTGAGCAGGAAGCAGAGTCTGCTCGGTCAAGGGTATGAGGTCGGTGCCCACGGCCCCATTCAGTCTCCAGAACAGGGCCTCAGATCAGACAGTTTTATTCCGGGGCAGCTGAGCTCACCTCCAGGTGAGTGGGCACCAGGGCAGGGGTGTGGCAAGAACCCTGGGCCCGGGGCTCCCCAACCCTTTGGCTCGCAGGGGCCCCTGGCCCACTTGGCTCTGTCCGGGACGCTGAGGACCCCTCCTCGGGGGCACCTCCCACCCCAGCCTCTCAGGTTAGGCCAGGGGCTTCAGAGGCTGGAATCGGCTCTCTGGCACGGGTGCTGCCCAAGCAGCCTCTGCACTGGGGGTGGGGGTGGGGCGAGACCTTCAGACATTCCTACTGGGACTCGGCAGCCGCATCCCTGCTGCTCAACAATCTCCCCCCGAAGTCAGCAGGGGAGGATGGGGCAGGAGGAGAGAACTGGGAGGCGACGGGCTGGATGTGACCCCGCCAGCCAGGCCTGGCGACCATCCCGGCCACTCCCGGAGCGTCTTGACCGCCAGCTGAGGGCTGCCCTCCTCCTTCCTCGTGCCCTTTCTGGGTCGTGATGTCAGGGGTCAGGCTCGGGGACCGGATGCCACCTGCTGCTTCCATAGGGCCCTGCTGCCCCGGAAGGCTGGCTCCCCTACCCAGTGGGGGACCCTGGGCTCTCTGCGTCCAGGAGGTGGGCCCGGCTCCACAGGGGGCAGCTCCTCAGGTCAGCACCTGCTGGATCCAGCCAATCACACCCGTGATGCGGGTGTAGACGCCGAAGTAGTTGGGCCGGCCGCAGCCCAGGCCCCAGCTGACCAGTCCCGCCAGGAACCAGCGGCCGCTGGGCTCCCTGCACACCAGCGGGCCCCCCGAGTCACCCTGAAAGGGGGAGAGGGGAGGCAGGGCGGCGTGTCAGGGTTAGGGCATCCCGGCTCCCCTCGTCCCTGGGCCTGGCCCCCACGTGCTCTCCGACCACCCTGGACGTGGGGTGTGTGCCCCCCGTCCCCCTCTGCCTCCTCCTGCAGGCTCCTTCTAGCCCTCCACTCCGTCCCCTCGGGCAAAGAGCCTTGAGGTAGACAAGGAGCAGAACCGGTTCTGAGCCTCAGAGCCTCCTGCCCACGACGGGTCTCTCCCGAGCTGTGGCCTGCAGCCTGGGCCGTGTCCCCCAACATCCTGTAAGGTGGGCACAGCCACCCCCTCGCCTCGCTGGGAGCCCAAGAAGCTTCAGCAAGCTGCTGTGAGCAGACGGCCGGGCCCAGGGGCACCGGGGGTACTGGGGGTGCGGGGAGCGCCGCCCTCTCCCTCCTCCAGCCCAGCCCCTCGGACTCACCTGGCAGGCGTCCTTTTTGCCCTTGTGGTAGCCGGCGCACAGCATGCGGGGCGTCACCTGGTAGTGATAGGCCTCGCTGCACAGGTCCTGCGGGACCAGCTGCACGTCCACCTTCTGGAGGCCGTTGCTGGTGGGGCCTGTGGGTGGGGTCCAAGCCAGAGGGCAGAGGTGAGGAGATGCACATGCCCAGGAGACCGACCCCCCTTTCTCCCAACTGTCTCCTTTGTACCTCAGGAGCCCCTCTCCGGCCCCGCCCACTCCCTCCTCCTCCTCCCCTGGCACCCCCCTCTCTCACGGTCACTCTGCGTGGCCCACAGGCAGAGCCCCCACCCAAAGCCTGTCTGGGTGAGTGCCTTCTCCCTCCAGCTTTTCCTCCCTTCCCTCCTCCTGCTTGAGGCCTCTTGACCACCTCCCCTTTGCTCTGTGGCAGCCCCAGGAGAGTTCTCCAGAGCACACATCTGACCCCTCCTCTGGCCCTCTGAGATACCCCAGGCCCTCCCCACGGTCCAGCCCGGTGCTCCTCCA